GGGCGTATTTTGGTCTGTTAGAAAAAAGTGCCTCCTAAAATTTTAAAGGAAGAAAGACATATATGTACAAAATAAGGGTTGATACAATGAAGGGATGGAAGATGACTGTAAAGATGAAAATTATAAAAGATTATATAAAAGGACTTGGTAAGGTAAGTTGTTTGAAAAAAGAAAGAAAATTTAAGGAAAAAAAAAAGGAAAAAGGGAGAGAATGTGATCAGGCAGGAGACTAGAACAAAGCCATACACTAGTGATTTAGGGTATATTTTGATCTGTTAGAAGAAACTGTACCCCAAAATTTTAAAGAGAGAACAACTTATATATATATGCCAAAAATAAGGGTAACTACTATGAAGGGATAAAATATGACTCTAAAAATGAAAAATAAAAAATGTTTTTTTTTTTTTTTAAAAGGGATTGATAAGATGTTGGTTGAAAAAGGGAAAAAGAAAAATAAAAAAAAACAGTCAACAAAAATTAACTTTGATGAAATAATGGATCATGGTAAAAAAAAAAAAAAAAAGCCATAAATCTATGTGCAGTATTCCCCTAGCGCTGGAGTTCTCCCATTCTCCTTGATCGATCAACTTGGTCTTGGCTTGCTGGCTGTTTGTGCTGATCTTCTGGGGGAGGGGCCTGTTGCTGTGGTTTCCAAATGTCTTTGCCGGAGGCGGAATTGCCCCGCCCTTGTCGGTTCGGGCTAAGGAAGCTGCTCCGGTTTGTTCTCACGAGCTTTTGTTCCCTGCAAGCTCCCGGTACAGCTTTGGAGGACCAGGGCAGAAATGGTGGCCTCCCAGTCTCCACCCAGAGGAGCCGAGAACTCGGGGCCCCGCTCCTCAGTGTGTCCCCAGAGAAAAGCAGTCACTCCCGTGTCCCCGGTCTCCTGCCGCACTCCGTGCTCACCCGGCCTGTGATCGAGCGTTGCTATCTCTGGCACCCGACTCCGCACGGAGTCTCCAAATCCAGCAGATCCCTGCAGTGCGTTCCCGCACCGCTCCTCCCCGGGAAGGAAGGGGAGTCTCCCCGGATCTGCTGCTTGTTGGGTCCCTGCTGGGGGAGCCGTGCCCCGACTGGGCCGCAGATCACAGTTTATGGCAACCCCGAGCTGAGAGCCCGCGACTCTGCTCCGTCTCTGCAGCCGGCTTCCCCGCTCTGATACCTGGGAGCTCTGGCGCACTCAGGCACCCCCGGTCTCTCCGTGACCCCAAGGGTCCTGAGACCACACTGTCCCGGGAGGATTCCACCCCCGCTTAGCCACTGCAGCGACGTCCCTCCGCCGAGCCAACTTCTAAAAGGTCCGATTTTGTGCTCCGCGGCTCTATCTCTTGCCAGAGGCGGCCGGCGGAGGCCCCTCCCCCGCCGTCTATCCTCTCGAATATCGCCTCGGATTCACTTCTCCGCACGTCCTACCTTCCAGTAAGTGGTCGCTTCTCTGTTCAGAGAGTTGTTGCTACTCTCCTGTTCGATCTCCTGTTGAGTTCGTAGGTGTTCAGAATGGTTTGATCCCTATTCAGCTGAATTCCTGAGACCAGACGAAATCTAGGTCTCCTACTCCTCCGCCATCTTGCTCCGCCCCCAACAGTTGTGTTTTCATTTTCATTGGTTTCCATGAATTTTTTTAATTCTTCTTTAATTTCCTGGTTGACCCATTCATTCTTTAGTAGGATGCTCTTTAGCCTCCATGCATTTGAGTTCTTTCTAACTTTCCTCTTGTGATTGAGTTCTAGTTTCAAAGCATTGTGGTTTGAAAATATGCAGGGAATAATCCCAATCTTTTGGTATTGGTTGAGACCTGATTTGTGACCTAGGATGTGATCGATTCTGGAGAATGTTCCATGGGCACTAGAGAAGAATGTGTATTCCGTTGTTTTGGGATGGAATGTTCTGAATATGTCTGTGAAGTCCATTGGGTCCAGTGTGTCATTTAAAGTCTTTATTTCCTTGTTGATCTTTTGCTTAGATGATCTGTCCATTTCAGTCAGGGAGGTGTAAATTCCCCCACTTTATTGTATTGTTGTCAATGTGTTTCTTTGCTTTTGTTATTAATTGGCTTATATAATTGGCTGCTCCCATGTTCGGGGCATAGATATTTACAATTGTTAGATCTTCTTGTTGGATAGACCCTTTAAGTATGATACTGTGTCCTTCCTCATCTCTTATTACAGTCTTTGTTTCCTTTCCCGAGCCAGAGGATTCTGGAGGTCACTTGAAAGGCTCTTTTACTTTACTTCAATTCCTCGGGCTCTGTCTCACTGAGGATGCCCATAGCATAGCCAACAGGACAGAGTCTGGGTGGCTAGGTTGTTCTTCGTCCTAAGAAAGAGTGTTGTTAGACGCTGCTCAATCTCAGTCAATGCATAGAGCAAGTACCTGCTCATGACATTAATGTGACTAATTTCTTCACTGTGTACTTCTATTTTTCAAAGCTTATAGGGATCAAAGCTTACCTGGCAGCTGGGGAAGCATTGTCTGCTACCAGTGACCTCTCAGCTTCTCCTGTTGGGCCTCTGGTCCAAAGGCCACCCTGAGAGCTGTGAGCACCAGGGGCCTGAGGATGGTGGGAAGCAAGGCCTCACTCACTGAGCTCAGATGTCAGTGTGTTTGGAAGGAGGGACTGACCCCAGTTCCTCATGCTTGATCGCCGGCCACGCTGCTCTGAGCTTGAGAGCCAAACCCTTTGGGAGGTAAGAGGGGCCTCCTTGCACACATGGGCACACGGATGAGTGCAGGGTGCTGACCTGGATTTGTCAACAGACCTGGGTTCAACTCTGTGCAGCATTTCTCCCTCTGGTCTCCCCCCTCCCCTTTCCCATCCTGTGACCCTGAACCCTGCCAATCACAATGTGATGCAGCAGCTTGAATTGAGATCCATTTCCTACCTCTCCCTGGGGTATTTGCTTTGTAAGCCTCACCTCAGACTGTGGGATTAAAACTTTTGCACATATCATAAGTCAGGCAGAAAAGGAGTGGAGGGCTTTTAAGGCCTGTGGAGGGCTTTCTAACATCCTAAAAACAAGCAGATGGACATTGGGTTTGGTTGAGACAGCCCCTGTACATGCCCACTCTTCTGGGGTTATTAGTAACAGCAATGTTTTCTCTTGTGCAAAAGTGTCCTGGTCTGAAAAATGATATCCCTCTGGTCACAGATCATTTTGGAAGAGCTTTCAAAAGTGTAGGGCTGCTCAGTTGTCCCTGGGGGACAGAGCACTGAAGTGTAGGCTTAGAGATGATCCTGTCATCTTTACTGCTGATTCCCCAGCCAGCAGAACAGTGCAGGGGCTCCATAAACGGAGTGGGTGACTCCTCCCTTGGTCCCATTTTGCAGATGAGCAAGCCAAGGAGAGGAATCCTCACGTAGTCCCCCATTTTCTGATCTATGGCTCTTCCCCTGCTTGATGTGGCTTCAGGCAAGTCCATATTGAGACCCAGGGCTGGTTGGCCTGGGCAGGGCTCTCTGGGGTCTGTCAGGTGTGGCAGGCCAAGGCTTCCCTCTGTTCTTCCATCACCAGTGTTGCCAAGGGGCTGGACTCAGTCCCCGTGAACTGCAGGTCCTGGTCTCGATGCCACCATTGATTACAAGTCTGCGCCCATGGAGTTGACTGGCCCAGGCATTCATCAAACGCACATAATTAGGCTTCCTGTATTGAATGCATTGAAAGTCTGAACACAGCAAGGAAAGGGAAATCTTTCTTCATTGGATGCACATTAGCAAGCACCTTCAGATGCAGGAGTTGTTGGTGGGACACCATCTTTCAGCAAATACATGCATGGACGTGTGCTTTTGTTTTTGTTTTTTTAAGATTTTATTTATGTATTTGATGGAGAGAAACACAGCGAGAGAGGGAACACAAGCAGGGGGAGTGGGAGAGGGAGAAGCAATTTTCCTGCCAAGCCTGGAGTCCGATGTGGGGCTCGATCCCAGGACCCTAGGATCCTGACCTGAACCGAAGGCAGATGCCCAATGACTGAGCCACCCAGGTGCCCCTGGATGTGTGCTTTTATATTTTGGAGAGAGAAAATCCTTCCCTTGTAGACCTCATCCACTGGGTCTCCAGGGCTGCTGAGCCTATAGACTTAAGGCTTGATTCAATTCCCTGATAGCTTGCAAAAAAGCAAAAGCCCTCATTCTAGAGGTAGGTTTCCTTATGAGAAGTGCAAATGCAGTGAACTTTGTTTATTCTGACTAATGTACTGAAGCCATAAGGGAAGTTGCGTTTTGGTCCCAGTGTCACATAAAAAGTAGTTTGCTGTGCCTCACACATGCGGGGCTGGTGGAGGGGAGATGCCAGGTGCCTACGAAGATGAACTCCGGCTGTGGGGGATTTGGGGCCCACAGGCAGCCTTATGGTGGAGGAACCAGGGCCCAGGTATGCCCTTCAGTGACTTTTAGGTCTAGGAACCTTTCTGTCAGTGTCCTCCATAGTCACTCCGGATGCCAGGTAAGTGCTGCCCTCGCCAGGGCTAGGAAACACAGGTGGGTTGTCCACCTCCAGCCTCCTAAAAACAGACGCCTATCAGGTGACATGGGTGACGGCATGTCCCTGGCTTTGCAGGACAGAGGCCCTGTGTGTCAGTGGCTCTCACTGTGGTGCCACCAGAAGGGCTTCTGGAGGGAGGAAGGCATGAGGAAAATTCCAGACCCCTCCTCACGGCGACGCTGGACACCCGCTCCTCTTGTTCCATACAGTGGACATCTGTGGAAGAGTTCACAGAAGGAAGGAATCCACTGAAAAGCCACTTGCTGAACTGAGCCAGGATTTCGGTGGCCATGTTTCATATCCAAGTGGCCTTCTGTATGCCCAAGTAACAAAAAGCACCTTTGGTGGATCAGTGCTAGGCTTCGGGACTGTTATTGCGGTAGGATTCCCTTACAGCTGGCAAACCACATGGACAGAGCACAGGGCAGTCCAGGCCTACTCGGCTGGGGCCAAGGATGGTTTGTTTACCTTCGTCAAGGACTAGGGCAGAGAGACGCATAGTCATTCTTCTTTTGTTCCTTGTAACTTTGTTACATTGTTTTATAAGAAGTACCAAACTCTCGGAAGCGGTGAAAGGGAGGGTGCCTCCCAGGAGTTGGAGCTGCTCCCTCAACACTTCTGGAGTCCTCCCCAGCCCTCCCCTGGTCAAGGGTAGCCTGAAGACAGAAGCACTGTTTTTGGCCACATGGAGAGCCTTCTGGGTCTGCTCAGGCCCAGAGAACTAAGGGAGGGTGAGCATTCCTCTTGCTGCGGGAGATGAGGCCCCAGTGGGTGGACAGGGGTGAGTGGTGTGGAGATGACAATGGATAGCAAAGCTTCTGCTGGATGGGATCTGGGACCTTCTCCATCTTGGGGTCACCTGGCAGAGTCCTGTGTTCTCAGGGTGTGCAGCTGCAGTGAGGGGGAGTGTGAGAGCAGATGGTGGCCCCTGCTCTCAGACCTGCTCTCAGATTCGGTGATGCCCGCTCAGTGATGTGCTGGTTTGTGGGTCAAGGGCATCTGTGTTGGCTAGTTCATATGTTCAAATACATACATATGGTTAAAATGTCTGTGGAAAGAAAGGGTCTTTGACACATAGAGTTGAATATATTTATTTTAATATGAATAAGTTCTCCTTGTGTAATTTTTATTCTTGTGTTTTCCCAACTCTCCTTACAAAGGCAGTGGGCTTGATGGTAGTTAGAGGGGGTCAAAACCCTCACGTTTCCCCCACCCTGAGCTGGCATTGTGCTGGGTCTAGGGGTGCCACAGGGAACAAGGTAGGGACCCTTCTAGCCAGGAAGAGTGTCTTCATGTCTGGGTCAGGGATGGGGACTTCAGGGCAGAGGTCTGGGGCCTTGGAGCAGTCCTGGGGTTCAGGGAAGGCCCCAGGGCAGGGGGGAGGGGGCAAAGTGCTCCTCCTCTCCTTCTCCTCCTCCTCCTCCTCCTCCTCCTCTTCTTCTCCTCCTCCTCCCATCTCCTTCTCCTCC